ATCCTTTGTCGACGCATTCAAACCGTCTAGCCTTGCGAGCCTCATGCAAACGGCCAGAATTCAAGAACAGACCATCGCAGCATGGTGCACGGCTAATCCAACATTGAAATCATGCATGTTTCCCTCCACTTCACCTCCTTTACAGCAGTCCTCGACGTCATTTTCCACATGGTCTCCCTCTCCATTTCAGAAATCAGGGCTCACGACTACTTCGTCCTCCTCTTCAGCACCTTCTGCTAATAAACCTTCGATCACCTTGTCAAAGAAGGAGATGGAGGATCACCAAAAGAAAGGGTTGTGTTACTGGTGCAATGAACGATATTCGACCTCTCATAAGTGTAAACAGTCTCAAGTCATAATGCTAGTAATTCCAAAGACCATCGATGAGGAGTTTGTGGATGCTGTTGATAATTTAGAAGATGGTACTTCACAAGAAGTGCCAATGGCTACTATCAACGCAGTTAACGGTGCTTCAGGTGCTTCTACATCGCGCATTGAAGGTTACATCAAGAGGTGTCAAATTGTGATCCTTGTTGACACGAGCAGCACACACAATGTTGTCAATGCTTCATTGGCAAAACACCTGCATCTACAGGTGACTACAGAAGGAGCAATGCATGTTAACGTTGCAGGGGGGCGAACACTCATCATTGATAAGTTCTCTCACAACCTATCATGGTCAATGCAAGGGTCTTGGTTTTCTAATGACTTTTTGGTAATGGACCTGGGCCAATTTGATCTCATACTAGGTGCTCAATGGCTTCAAAAGCTGGGCCGTATTATGCTAGATATGGAGCGACATTGCATGGCTTTCATGTACCGTGATAGGTTTTATGAGTTACATGGGTTGGGCTCTAACAACACCGGGCCTTGTGAGGATTCAGTGGGAATTCAAGACATCGTCCATGCCTAACACGTTTTTAATTCAAGTAGGATCTAACACTGATGTCTTCTGCCATTTGCACTAGCTCACAACTTTATCTTTTGACCGATAAGCTCAACTGGAGGAAGTCATCAACTCTTTTTCAGATGTGTTCGCCGAACTAACTTCGCTTCCCCCACCACGTGATTTTGATCACCGAATTCATCTCAAGAGCGATAATCCCATCAGTTGCCATCCCTATCGCTATGGACCCCTGCAGAAAGAGGAGATTGAGAAACAAGTGCACTAGATGTTACTTTCGAGAATCATACGACCCAATCATAGTCCATTTACTGCCCCCGTTGTGTTGGTTCATAAGAAGGACAATACATGGCGCTTCTGTGTTGACTATCGCCGCCTAAATGATGCTACAATTAAAGACAAGTTTCCTATTCCTCTCATTAAGGAGCTGCTCAATGAACTACATGGCGTCTCCTTCTCTTTTCCAAGCTAGACCTTCGTTCAGGCTATCATCAGATTCAGATGTACTCCCCAGACATTCACAAAACGACATTCAGAACTCATGATAGGTTGTACGAATTCGTAGTCATGCCTTTCGGTTTGAGCAATGCGCCGGCAACATTTTAGGGACTCATGAACTCTGTTTTTAAACAGTTCTTACACCAATTCATTTTGGTTTTTTTCAATGATATTCTCATTTACAGTAAGGATTGGGATTCTCACATTCACCATCTGATTCAGGCTCTGTCCATTCTGCATCAACACCAGTTATTTGCAAAGAGAACCAAATGTGTTTTTGCCGCCACTCAGGTTCATTATTTGGGACACCTAATATCTGAAAAAGGCGTGAAGGCAAACCCTGAAAAGATAGCAGCAATTCTTACTTGGCCTATTTCCACTTCATTGAAAGCTTTGAGAAGTTTCTTGGGTCTCACCGGTTATTATAGAAGATTTGTCAAGAACTATGACTCCATTTGTGCCCCTTTGACAAATTTACTGAAGCAGGATGAAAAGTTTAAGTGGTCCTCTGAGGCTAACACGGCCTTTGCTACTCTTAAAACTACCATGACTTCCTCCCCTGTTCTTGCGCTCCCTAACTTTGATGAAAAATTTGTCATCGAGACCGATGCTTCTGGTTCCAGTATGGGGGCCGTTCTAATGCAATTGGGTCATCCTCTGGCTTTTGCAGGCAAGGTTTTGAGCCCTCACAAACGAGCCCCATCTACCTATGAACGTGAGTTGATGGCCATCATCTTTGTTGTTAAGTAGTCGAGATCTTACCTAGTGGGTCGCACCTTCACCATTCGCACGGACCATCTACCATTAAAACACTTATTGGAACAAAAGTCTATTTCTCCTAATTAGTTGAAATGGTTGAATAAACTCTAGGGGCTTTCCTACGAGATTGAATATCGTAAAGGTCGTGAGAACACTGTCGCAGATGCCTTATCTCGCCAGCATGATGCTACCTTAGCTGCTATTACTTCCCCTACTACTTCTCTACATCAACGTGTTAAGGAATCTTGGGAGCATGATGACCACATACAACGTTTAATTCAAGACCTCGAACGAGACCCATCTTCACATTCTGATTATTCCTGGAAATCTTCTCTCCTTAAAAGAAAAGGCAGACTTGTTATGGGTGCTGACCGCAACTTACGTTCTAATCTACTCGGTTATTTCCACAATGACGCCATTAGCGAGCATTCTGGTATTACTCCCACATTTCAACGTATTTCTGCTGTCTTTTATTGGAAAGGTCTTGAACGTGATGTCAAGGAGTTCGTTCGCAATTGCATTACGTGTTAGAGGTTCAAATATGAAACTTTAGCATCACCTGGCTTACTCCAACCCTTGCCAGTTCCTGAGCATATTTGGACCGACCTGTCTATGGATTTCATTAGTGGCTTACCCAAGTCATACTCTAAAACAACTATATTAGTTGTGGTTGATCGGCTAAGCAAGACGGCCCATTTCATCGCCCTTAGACATCCATATATGGGAAGTTGCTCAAGTTTTCATGGACACTGTTGTTAAGCTGCATGGATTTCCTAAATCCATTGTTACCAATAGGGACCCTATTTTTGGTGGGAAATTTTGGCGAGAGTTGTTCCGCCTTTATGGGGTCAAACTGAATTTTTCTTCTGCCTATCATCCCCAATCTGATGGGCAGACGGAGGTCCTAAATCACTGCTTAGAATGTTATTTGAGGTGCATGACAGGTGATCTTCCCAAGCAATGGGCAAATTGGCTTTCGCTTGCTGAATTATGGTATAACACGACGTACCACTCAACTATTGGAATGACTCCCTTGCAGGCCGTTTATGGTATTGAACCTCCAGCACACCTCCCTTATATTCCAGGGGAACATGGAGGTAGTCAATCATGTGTCTTTCTCATGAACTCACCAGTTAACTCCTCAAGACCCACCTGTTAAAAGCTCAGCAGCATATGGTTCATCAGGCCAACAAACATCGCTCTGAACGAGTCTTCATGGTTGGCAACAAGGTTTTTCTGAAGCTACATCCCTTTTGCAAAAATTTGATCAATAACTCTTCCCTGCACAAGCTCGCTGCTCGATACTTCGGCCCTTTTGAGATACTGAAACGAGTGGGTTCTGTTGCTTATGAATTAAAGCTACCAGAGGGGTCTCGTATCCACCCAGTCTTTCACATCTCTCTTCTCAAGTGTTCTACTCGGCTAGATGTTCCTGCTAGTCCCATGTTGCCCCTTGTTGACGATAATGGGCATTTTGCTGCAGAACCAATGGCAATACTGGGAAGGAAGCTCGTTAAGCGGGGCAATTTACCAGTGACTCAAGTAGTGGTTCAATGGCGACACACTAATCCTGAAGATGCCACATGGGAAGATTTGCCTTTTATTCGGTCCCAGTTCCCTGATTTTCCAACCATCGCTCCAGCTCGTGAGATCCTTGTGGACAAGGACAATTTTTAATGGGGGGAGTATTGATACACGTCAACAGTAGCTTAAGTGTTAGATGCTTAGCTGGCAGGGAAGCAAGTGTGCGTTTCGTTGTAATAGAATGAGGAATTAGTTATAACAGACTTCGATTCCTAAACGGCAAGAGAATATAAATACCACCTCACGTGTAATTGACGGGTGAATAAAAGTTCGAACTCTGTTCTCTTCTCTCTGTGCCCCTTCTCTCTTTCTTTTCTCTTCGGCTTGTACCAGAAGGCAGGGAAGTGGACAGAGAAAGAGAGAAGGAAAAAACAAGAAAGATGAGAGAGAATGAGAGTAGAGAATGTTGGAATAATACTAAACTTGTATTCACATTCAAAAATTGCCTCAGATTAAACCTTTACATAGGCAGTCCTAAGTGAAGTTTAACAGCAATTTAATAACTAACATTCCCTAATGTCTAGCAGCTATTTTATAATTAACAACCTTCCCTAATGTCTAACTACCTTACCTTTTATTAATATAATACCCCCTCTTAAAGAACCCCATTTCAATGGGCTCGGGGGGTCAACTACCCCCCTAACTGTGCCCCCAACGGCCCCTTAATTTTGGACCCCTTCCCAAAAAAAAAATTTTAGTTTCTTCAAAAAAAAAATTGAAGACATTTTGATATCTTAGAATATCAAATCTATGAAAAATCATAAAAAATTGAAAACTAAACCATTTTTTGCCCATAATATATCAAAATATCACTCATTTTATGTAGAATCTAATGATAAAAAGAACTTTAAAAAACATTTGGGAAGGGATCTAAAATTGAGAGAAGCTAGAGGAGCAGCTGGGCGGCAGCTGATACCCCTGCTCGGCTTTGATACCAGTGATGTGAAAGTAAGATAGGAAGGAAGGAGAAACAGAGGAAAAGGTAGGCGGCTGGAAAAGAAAGAGGAGAAAATGAGAGAAGAGGAAGAGAGTAAAAAGGAAGAGACACAAGAGAGACTCAATCCATTTAATCTCGTAGCATGATTAGAATAATCCATCCTGTGTCCCTTTTATACACCTTAACTACCCATTAAACTCCCTTAACTAATTCCTGACTCTCTCCCATTTTGTTTATTACATATCAGACAACAAGGGTCAAGGCTATGACACAGAAATTACATAGAACACCACCCTGAATGAATGCTTTATTTTCCTTTCACATCTACAAGATATCAGAGATCAGCATCAAATTTAGTACTGAGAACTATTAGAGAAAGAGAAATCTATGGAAAAGTAATTGCAAGATGTTAGGAGAAAGAAAATGCTCAGTTTGATAAGAAAAGAAAGATTATAGAATATGAGTGTGTTCTGAATATCTTATGTATCTTCTAAGTTAGTGAGCTAGTAAAAGAGAAAGTACATAGTACAAGCTAGGGAAATGAACCTAGACAACATACCATACTATACGCATGAAGTACTATCTAATACTATTCAACAAAAAATATTAGATCTTGAGAGTTAGCACAGAAATAAAGGGGAAAAGAAGATCTGAGAAAGATAAAGTAAGGGGGGAGCCTAGAACCAGAATCTGAAATTCTACGACAAGAGCAAGTTTAAGGCAAACTGAAAAATGCTTTACACCCATCCCCTTCTGTGGCAAAATAGATGTATGGTATTTACTATGGTACATAAACTGAAAATAACTACCTTATCCTATCCATATAAAACTGACATTGATGTAACTAACACTGGACACTTATAACAGTTAACACAAGACACAAAATAAAACATAAAAAACATAAAACATAATAATTACTGAACAATAAACTAGTAAAGGCCACTGGTTCCTATCAGAAAACAAGTGAATTAAGAATTACACTAATCTAATATAAAAGTCCCAAAGATTTAGTGACCAACCTGAGTTGCTATACCAGCATGATCAGTGCCAGGAAGCCAAAGCGTTGGCCTTCCCTTCATGCGGTGGTATCTAACCATAATATCCTGCAAAGCAGAGCATTATAAGAATGGGAACGGATACTTCACCATGATAACATTTTGTCAGATGCACCAGGACAAAAGACACCAAATAGAGTATAAATAAAACATTATTATGAAGTCAAATAAGTGGCATTCATAAAGAATGAAATAAAACATCATTTAGTCCTACTTTCCCAAAGTTACACACAACATCTTGCTTACATGTGTAACTTGCAAAGAACTGTTAATAAACTCATCAAAGTATAAGGTTAATTTTTTTTTATTAAAAAGAAAGGCTCAATAGCAAGCATGAGAAAAACATTATTTTAATTAAGCCAAAAAAAGGAGAAGGAAAAGGAGAAGAAGGAGAATGAGGGTTAAAAATCATTGTTATCAACTCAAACATAATGCATCATTTATGTTTGTATCAACAAAGTATTATTTAGCCTCTGCCATTTAAAAAGACCTCTATACCACATTGATGCATGTCTGGTAAATGTAGATACCAAAATATGCAAATACTTGGAGACATCAGATAACAGAAATCCATTAGGAAAATTTAAAACCTCAAGAGTCACAAACATCGCATGCCCCATGTGCAGAGATCCTGTAACATTAGGAGGTGGCATTGATATAACAAAAGGCTCAGTTCCCTGATCAAAGTTTGGCCTAAAATACCCTTGAGACTCCCACCTAGCAAAAAATAATTTTAAATTAAACACCAGATAAACAGTAATATATAAGCCAAAGACTAAATCCGAAGGAAAAGCCACATTTTTTATATGCATGCAATGCCAAGAAACAGAGGAGTCCCCAAAAATGGTCCTTCTGCATTCTTCATTCTTCAATACAGCCATCTAGACTCAGTAAAACCTTTGAAAGCTTGTATGTCTAAAAAAAAATAGTTCACAAAGGAACAGAAATTCAGATGTATTCATTTGTTTCTCTTGATAATCAGTGCCTTCCAATAGTATAATCCCCACAAACTTCACAATTCCACCGAACAGATGGCAGATCTACATAAAACCTCAATCTTCTTTTCACCTTCAAACCACCACCATTATTACCGCCAAAATTGGTCCATGCTCCTCATAAGACAAATCCACAGCCCTCATCAGTTCATTTAGTCAGCAATCAGATTTTTAATTGAATCAAAAGCAAGAAAATCAACTTAAACAAAAAATAACTAGGAAGGACTTGCTCACCAAGAGAGATATTAAATTTAATGTGAAACTAAATCCCAAATCAACAATAAGAATATCAACACATCATTGACTCCATAAGGAAATTACTATGACTAACATTAACAAATTGCAAAAGAAAATAGGCTCTTACTAATAATAGGAAAAATACCAATTATATATGCGCTCTTCTGCAGTAAAGTCGAAAGATTTTGCAATCTCTGGAGAGGTGAAGACACCATTCTCTGATGCAGCAACTGAATATCAAAACGGATGCCAGTCATTTCCTAAAGCATGAAAGATTCCCGTTTTTTCGTAAAGGGATAAAGCAAAACATATCCATCCATCGACATTTTTCCATCATTGAAAAAAAAAAAGAAAAAAGCTAGTGGGAAAGGTTAGAATTTCCAAAGAGAGTTAAACTCCTTTCCCGTCAAACCGGAAACATAAAATTTATGCTAAACAATTTACTAGGAAAATGAGGGAGGGCAAGTATTTAGTCATGGCATCACATAAAATTCAACACGCATATGACAAGTTTAAAACTCGTTAGCTGACTAGCAAACAACTCGAATTCACTCAAATCGCAGGCAGGAAATTAATAGGAAGTACCTGCAAAATGTCGAGGTTTGAAATGCCAACGAGAAATTCGAATGCTACGGCGTCCTTTACAGCAGAGAAAATAATTGATTCTGTTGCAAGCGAGAAAAGGAGGAAAGAGAGAAGAACCAGAGGACGTCGCTTGGAGTATCATCGGATATCGCACCAGTAAACTCAAAAGAGACGGATAAGCCTCGGCGCGGGCGGGTTGAAGCAGCGAAGCTGAGGGGCGCTTGACAAGGGAAAATCATTCAAGGAAAATTACCATAAAATCCCAACAGACAAAAAAATTATTACAAAGGGTAACAAAATTCATCTCAATAAACAATAGGCACTGAACACCCCTAAAGTTTATTTGAATATAAAAATATATATAAAGTTATTAAAAAGAGGCACGTTGTTGACATCCAATACTTTACCATTAGTAAGGCCCACAAAATCAATTTTAAATTGTATTTTTAACAATAAAATTTACATTAGGAGTACACTTGACACTACAAAGTTTAGTTGGATGCAAAAATAATAAAATTCATCAACACCTATTAACTTTATTTTTTTTGGTCCTATTAAATGTCACATGTTTTCTCCATTTATTTTCACTTTCAAGTCCATTCATCTTTCTCTCATCATAGTCAACACACACACTCTCTGTTATATTGTTTTCTAAACCTCTAAACTTTTTATATGTATTTAATTTATTTTGGGCTATTTTCTCTTCCAAAACATTATATGACTCAAAAACCCCTAATTTACTCTTTTTCCATTTTTAGGAAATTTTTGAGAATTTTTCATAAATTTCCTATTTTAACCCTTAAGAGACCCGACATTGTCAGTCCGGCTCCCTTCTGGGTTTTTGAGTATTGCCAATATATCTTCCATTTACTCTTAACTTAATCTTCTCATGGTATACTTATAGAGAAAGGAATATCCCATCCTTCTCTCCTCAGTGACGTAATTAATTAAATAATATTTAATCAGAGTCGATTTTGTCGAGTTCTTTTCTACTGGCTTATAACTCCGTCGATTTGTCTCTGGGTTTCATTCTTTCCTTTTCATCATAGGGATTTCCTCTAATTTTTCTTAAGCCAAAATTCAAACCTTAGACCGCTATTTTGACTTTCCCCAGATAGGGTATAAATAGGCTTTAAATTTAATTAAAGCTAACCTCGTCAGTTTCTAGGGACGGAATTAATTTTACAATATGTGTAAATTCCTTAGCTACTGTTCCCCAGTTTTTCCTGATTATTTGAGGCCGTCTTATAACTTAAATAATTCAATTTAAGTTACTATCTCAAATTGTCCAAAACCCTAGAATGACTTCAAAGCATTTTCATCATTTCTAGCCTTATATCGGCTCTAGGATCCTATTTCTATTTTTCTGGAATTTTTCTAAGTCATTTGGGCCCTTTTTGGTAACTCTGAGCATTGACCAACCAGAACTTTTATTATTTACAATTAAGTCCCTACTTGGCCTAGGAATCTTTTCTTTGCAATTTGGTCCCTCCTTAGGCCTAACCTTCGGAACCATCTCTTGCAAGTTTCTGGCATAACCTCTGGCCCTTAGTTGTTTCCAGTTCGTCATTTTTTAGTCTCCGAACACTATTGTTTCACACATTTGCCCTTGGAAAATCTCTTTTTCCTTCCGAGGGATCTCCGAGACTTTCGTTGCATTGGACTTAATAATCATCCTTTCCTTATGCTATTACTTGTATCTATGAGCCAAAATTTGGGATGTTATAGAAAAGAATCAAGTGCATATAATATAACAAGTGGCCATGCGGGGGTAAATAGGCCAAGGCCTCGGTTACACAACAACGGGCCATCAAGAGGGAAACGTAGTTAAAAACTAGTGATTTCCCCCCGCACGTGAGTTAGATGTAGGTTGGGCACCTTTTTACCCGATTATTTTTGTAAAAATTTTAGAAATTATTTTATTGCCAAATAAATTAAAAGCTTAACAGAAAATTTTTGTTTGTCCTAGTATAAAAACTAAAAACCAAGTGGTTGGGTGTTTACAAAATAGTGGTTGGCCATTGATGCGAACAATCATAGGCTTTACTGGTGTGCTTTTTTAGTGTTGTGACTGGATGCCTTTTTTGGCATGCCCCATGCCCATCTAGAATCTATGCCTCTTTCGTAGCCTATAAAAGGGGTTTTTATGAGAGTGCCAAGTGAATGTGATCTTAGTCTTCCTTCCTCTTGCCCCTATGTTTATTCTTAGTTCGTTTGCCTTCTACTATTTTATCACCTTGCTCTTGCAAGAAGGGTCCATTTAATCCTAGGGAGTGATGTTTCCTAATATACAGAGAGGTTTTAGAATATCTTTTAAGAACAGTGTCCTTGTGACGCAACTCGAACTGTCAGATTTTCAGTGCTGTTGCCTACAATCTTAAGTGATATTCAACATCATGGCATAAAACAATGACATTTCTGTTGGAGCCAATAATGCTTTTGTTAATATCCTAACAGCGATGCCGCTTCCTAAACCGTTTCTTAACACATCCAAGATAGAAATGTTTAATGGGAAGAATTTCAGGTGGTGGCAAGAATGAGTCTATACTATTCTAGATATGCATAGGGTCGTTAGAGCACTAACTTAAGCTAAATCTCTTGCATATGCTGACTAAGGCCAAAAGGGTCTCTAGCATCACATCAACAAAGTATGTAGACACATCCCGGTTAGTACTCTATCTAATGACTTGTTTGATATCTACAGCATCTACAAAGAGGAAAACAAGATATGAGAGTCCCTGGTTCTTAAATACACTGCCAAGGATACTGGGAAGCAGAAATTTACGATCAAATACTTCTACAAATAAAAGATGATTGATGATAAAGACTTTAAACTCCAGATCAATCAATATCACAAATTGTTGGAGGAACTTCAAGATGAAAAGATTAATCTCTCCAATGAGTTGGTGGCTGGTTGGGATTGTGATTGAGAAATTGCCAAGTTCATGGAATGACTACAAACAATAACTAAAGCACATACAGAAATAATTATCACTTACAAATCTAGTCACTCATATCATAATTGAAGATATAAATTGGAGGATAATCCAAACAGAAAAAGAGAAACAAACGGCTACAAAGAAAATTTGGTAGAAACTGCAGTAATCGTTCTTCCAAAACCAAAGTAGATCAAATCAAATAATTTAGTTGAAAGATTAACCATGATAGAAAAGAAAAAACCTTAAAATCATAAAACCACTACCATTGTTAAAAGAAATAAACTTATATCACAAGTAATATCGATTATTAACTTGGGCCTTGGACTTTTGAAGTCCAGAAATAATAGTCAACTATTAGCACAAATGAAATCTCATACTTTCGAACATACAAACTTATAAATCCATTCAAAATAAGCTAAGAAGCTCAATTAATTAGAAGATAACATTTATCAAAGAGTGTCACATATAAGTCTTGGAGGCCCTCAGCCTTCTAACAGCACTCCCAATAGTTAGCAAAAATCATAAGTATTAGTTCACAAAATTAGAATGAATGAGCCCTACATGGCAATATATAATAAATCAACATATAAAACAATAGGAAGGAGGCTATACAAGCTATAATAGTATGCTAAGCCTCTAGAGCCCTCTTGATGACCCAACACCTGAAAGTATTAGAAACCACGGGGTGAGACAAAAGTCTCAGTAACCAACTTTCCAACTTATCATACATACTAACATGTACTGAGGTGTTAGGTGGGACTGTTATCAAATCTCAAGAAATATAGATATCAATAGATTTATAAAAATGTATGTAAGGATAATCTTGATTAGTCTCAATTATACAAACTCTTACTATAGAAGCTAACACACAAGCCACATTAGTCTATCCCTTACTGTGGGGATTAATCAGACATATGGGCCTATCTTTCGCTCCGGGGGATAATAAGGAGCCACAAGGACCTATCCCTCACTATGGGGGACGAAGAAAGCCAACCAATGTGCTTCAATGGCAGCTTTATCACGTGGTAGAGCAAGACTTAACTCAAAATCCAAATAACAATCGATCAACCACAATATAACTAGAAATGTGTTAATCTTTTCTCAACATAATTCGTGAGTTATAAATCATATGTTAAATATTTCTTTCAAACTTCTCAATCATAATCCCAAAATATCCCATAAGACAATTTTTCATAGTTCAAAAGGTATAACATATATCATTAAATTTCAAATAACATATCATTATTTCAAAATAGCAAAAGTATTCACAAACAACATATTAGCAAATATAACAAGTGGAAAGTGGTTAACTGTCACGAAACCAAAGAAAATGAGTATCACAAGGTCAACTCCATGCTCAAACCAATAATCCAATAATTAATCTATACCATTAATATAACCGCATATTAATATAAGCTATTTAATTAATTACGCTTATATATTTGTTAACATTTCTAGATTCCCAAAACTCTCAAAGCCCAAAATTGAGAATTTTAACACTAACTTTCAATTTTCTAATACTAAATTACTCATTTACATCCTCCCAAAATTATTTACTTTAATAAAAGAATTTTTTTCCAAAATTATTAAATATGAAATTCTAAAACCTCATTTCAAATTTAAACCTTCAAACTAAATACCAAAAATTCTACAGTACCTTAAACATATATAAATAAATAATTTGCTCAGATTTTCCATAGGACAAATATCATATCTCTAACGAACAAGGAGCTTTTAAACTAAAATGATTATTTAAAAATATCTAGTCTCCCAATAAATAAAACTACATTGATAGAAATAATTTACCAAAATAGCTCTATAATATTATAGTCATCAATCATAAAAACTCAATACTTGCTCTAAACCTTAGACCCAAAAATTTTCTCCAAGTAGCACAAAATCACTATCATTAGATAAATATAAATGAGTAGAATAACTTTCATGAAGAGAATTTAATGAAAAGAAGTTGTTTTTCTTACCAAAAATATTTACAAAGTTGAACTATAAGAATGGAGGATGCTCTTGCCATGTAGGGGCAACAAGAAAGAAAGAATATGACGCGAGGAAAGGAAAAGGGTTATAAATAAAGGCTAGGACAAATTATTCTAATAGGCCCAAGGCCCATATTTACAAATTTACTAAGAGTAGGGAGATGAATTGAAGAAGAAAGAATTTTTTGTATATTCCACAAGGATCTTTGCGC